TGCACTTCCATGCCAGTCTTTCTCCACATCTCTGCTGGACATTTATCTGAGGGACTGCTTCTTTCTCTGTACTGGTATATGTGTCTGATTTTGTCTTCTTCTTGTCAGTTTGTGTATATCTGAATCAGTTGGATGCTTTTAGCTATAACGAAAGATCATACTCAAATGGCTTAACTTTGAAATAAAGAAATTTATTGCTTCACATAACAAGAATTCCAGGGGATAGTCCCTCCGGAGTTGGCCAATTCAGTGCCTCGACAAAATCATTTGGTCAGCAAAGCCATTGGTTCCTTGTTCAATGAATATTTATTGAATGACTATTTGTGTCCAGCCTTGATTTAGGTACATGGGATATACACCGACAAGAAAAGAAACAAAAGTCTCTGTCCTCATGGAGTTTATATCCTGAATCTTCCCAGCTTTGTCTCATGGTAGCACAATAGTTGCTCTAGTTCCAGGCATTACATCAGGTAGGACAACACCTTATATTTACATGGCATCTCTTCGTATGTGTTTCTTTAGCAGAAAGGATAAAAATTTCCCCTTTTATCTCACTGGCCAAAATTTCCTCACATATTTCACTCTAAACCAATTTCTGGCAAGAGGAATGTTATTTCCATAATTGGCTTAGACTATTCAAGATTTACCTCTTTACTGAAGCTTAAAAATAAACAGACACACCAGGCCCCACTCTGTGTTCACCTACAGGAAGTGGGTGGGTCAGGCATGGCTATTTTTTCAAAGCTCCCTGGGTCATTCTAATCTACATCCAGAGTTGAAGCTGGTGCTAAGATGCTCTTCGTGATACACTTTAGGGTTGAGAAGGTTTGGGTTTCCTTGTAGATCTGTATAATTTCATTCCTGAACTTGGGCTATGCCTCAGAAGGAGAAGGCTGCAATCTGTTGAGGCCTCCAGACCGTCCCCTTTGTTTTTTTGTCAACACTGTTCTTTGGCTTCCCCCAGCCTCACCCCAGGAAATCCCTAGTTGGCCCTCCTCAGCTGTAGACTCCCAACCCCTTTCTCAGTGTATGGCCAGCCTTCCTTCAGTCCAATTTTGGTTTGGTTCTTGTGTTTTCTTCCCTTTTTTTTAACGTTAAATTTCTCCTCAAAACTTTATCCAAAACTTTAAATTTCTCCTCAAAACTTTAAATATCCATGTGTGTTTTAACCACTGAAACATCACAAAGATATTTGTACAAAAAAGATTTGAATAATCTTCCCCTTCCTGTCTCCATCCACTATCATTCCAGAAGACTAGGCTCTCTCTCTTCTCCCAATATATCTATCTATCTATCTATCTATCTATCTATCTATCTATCCATCTATCCATCCATCCATCTATCTATCCATCTATCATCTATCACCAGTGTCAACAGGCCCCTGGCCCATCCTATGGATCTCTTGGGGGGGGATAGGGGGGAGGAAGAGATGATGAAGGGACTGGGTAGGGAGTTAGTCTGGAAAAAAAAGAAATGGGAGGGCTCAATTCTTATCCCCACCACCTTTTTTCTTAATTTTTTAGTTTGAAATAATTTTTTATTTTATTTTATTTATTTATGTTTGGCTGTGTTGGGTCTTCATTGCTGCGCAGGCTTTCTCTAGTTGCGGCAAGCGGGGGCTACTCTTCGCTGCGGTGCGCAGGCTTCTCATTGTGGTGGCTTCTCTCGTTGCGGAGCACAGGCTCTAGGTGCACAGGCTTCAGTAGTTGTGGCATGAGGGCTCAGTAGTTGTGGCATGTGGGCTTCAGTAGTGGCTCGTGGGCTCTAGAGCGCAGGCTCAGTAGTTGTGGTGAACGGGCTTAGTTGCTCCGCGGCATGTGGGATCATCCCAGACCAGGGCCCGAACCCATGTCCCCTGTATTGGCAGGCAGATTCTTAACCACTGCGCCACCAGGGAAGCCCTGAGATAATTTTAAGCTTTGAAAAAATTGTAAGATTAGTACAAAAGAACTCCCATACATCCTTCACCCAGAATTTCTTACAGTTTTGCCAATTCTAATAATCTTTTTTCAGCTTTAATGAAGTATAGTTGACAAAATTGTAAGATACTTAAAGTATACATTTACTTTGATGATTTGATATGTGTATATAGAATAATTCCTTGCACATACTTTATAGTCAAAGGAGCCAACCTAGAAGCACATGGTCAACCCAATTGTCATGTGGTTCTAGTCTCCTTTAACCTAGAACCCTTCCCCCGCCTTCCCTTGACCTTCTTGACATTGGCACTTTTGGAAATCACAGACCAGTCATTTTGAGGAATGTCTTCCTATTAGACTTGTCCAGTGTTTCTTCATGATTACATTCAGGTTATGCACCTTGGGCCAGAATATCACAGAAATGATGGTGTGTTCTTCTTATTGCATCCCATTAGGTAGCATGTGATGTCAATTTGTCCCATCACTGGTGGTGTTTATTTTGACCACTTTCTTAATATGGTGTCTGTTAGCCTTATTCTCTGTAATGTGACTTTTTCCCCTTTGTAATTAATGAGTAATTTATAGGGAGATAATTTGAAATTATGTAAAATCCTATTCCTCATTCAATTTTTTTTTTTTTTTTTTTTGCGGTACATGGGCCTCTCACTGTTGTGGCCTCTCCCGTTGCGGAGCACAGGCTCAGGATGCGCAGGCTCAGCGGCCATGGCTCACGGGCCCAGCCGCTCCGCGGCATGTGGCATCTTCCCGGACCGGCCCCCATCCCCTGCATCGGCAGGCGGACTCTCAACCACTGCGCCACCAGGGAAGCCCCTCATTCAATTTTTACCCACTAGATTTAGCATCCAATGATGTTTCTTGCCTAAAATTATTATAGCTGTAATTGTTGTCACATGGCAATTTTCTTTTTTCATTTTTTTACATTTGTTCGTCAGCATTGTGCTATGAGAGAGAGCTTTCTCTTCTTCCACGTATTCATTTATTTGTTTATATCAGTGTGGACTCATGAACTCCTATTTTATTTAAAGGGCATAATACATTGCTATCATTGTTTATTTTGATCCTTTTATTATCTCAATATTGTCCTAGGAGTCCCTGCAATCTGTTTTCTATGTGTTTTTTAAAACATCTTCCTGTCATTTATGGAGCACTTCCATATTTTCTGGCACAACAAGATGTTCCAGGCTTATCTTGTTCTTTACCTGCCCCAGCCCTGTAATCAGCCATTTTCTCCAAGGACCCTTGGTTCCTTTAGTGGAGAATGGTATTCAGAAACCAAGATCTGGGCTCTGTGTGCGCTGATTGCTACTGGCGTATCATTTCTCCCAGGCCCTCTCCATGAATCAAACTAAGAAATATATGTATGTATGTATACACGTTTATATCTACATCTGTGTATTTACAGACTGAAAACCATGAGTTCACACGAATACCTCCCACTCCAATTCAGCACCACAGGGTTCATTCCAGTCCCCACTCCCCTTGCATATTTGTATCTCCCTTCCCCATCAGAGAGGATCTTGTCTCCCACTGGCTTCTACATGTCAATTTCTTTGCTCAATTTGCATATGTAATCAATCTCCCAGTCTCCAGAGGGCCAGTCAAAAGATTTCCTCATGAGGTCGCCAACCTGCTGGCTGCCTGCTCCACACTTCAATATCCTCCCTGTGGCCCAACTGTTACCCTGCTACCTTCCTCCTCAATTTACCTTTCATGTGCTACCATCTTCCTCTGAGAAACCCTCCACTGCCATTCCTTGAACCCATAAAAGCACTCAAGCCTTGGTGCTTTCACTTCAGTATATTCAACCCTGTTCCCCACTGACAGTCACTTGTAGCAGAATGAGCTGTTTTATTTTATTTTTGCCACATTCCCAGGACTTAGGGCTGAAGTATATATGTTTTAAAGTTAGTATTTATAGCCATGAAAGAACATCTGCTTCTTGCTCTTATTTTCAAAATGGACAAATCAGCAGCACAGTGTGGCCACTTACTAAGAAATGACTGATTGGAGCTCTTTGCAAATCTGCTTAAAAACTTAGTTACTGCTTAACTTGTACCCTTCTGCGATCTTTTCTCCCACAGGGTCTTTTCTCCCACTGAAGACCCATCTATGGGAAAAGGCTCTGCCTTTGGTTTAAAAGCACAGATCCTACTAATTTGCTTCATTCATTCATCCACTCATTCATTCACCAAATATTTATTTGGTGGTATTTATTTGATGGTAATATGGGCTCCCCTGCCCGGGCTGCTCTGATTTTTCTTGTTCTTCATTCTGCACTGGCCTGTATTTACTGCTTGGCTGGTTCAGACTACCAGGGTGTGTAAAGTGGGGAGAGTAAAGGAAGTGGGTTCTTGTGAGCCAACCAGTCCCCTACAGAGGGAGGGACACCACCCCCTCAGAGCCACTTTCCCTTCCCCTTGGGTTGTCAGCTTCTCCCAGCACACAGAGCAAGTCAGAATCCCAGATAGCCCAGCAAAAACAGGGTGTTTACCAGATGGGTTATTTCCATTCTGGCTTCTGGGGACCTTCAGGAGGGGTGGGAGGGGAATATACGGGGAGCACAGTCCCCATACCTACTCAGGGCTGCTGAAACTGAGCTCTGGGCCTCTGCCCCTCTCCCAATTTTCCACTCCTTCCTCTCATGAAGGTCTCTGCCTAGGGCCCAAATAACGAGAGAGCAGCATCCCACCCTGAATGTTCTGAGACCCAGGAGCATGGTGGAGGCCGAGCTTATTTGCGTTGTGCGTCATGGGTTCTTACATGGCTGAGGGAAGGCCTGAGCAGGGTGTGGGCTACAGCTGCAAGTCACCTTGAGTAACTGTGATGCTATCTAAGTCTAACGGTTTCTTTCGGGTAGGCACTTCCGCCATCCTGTTTGTGAAGCAGAAACCTGTGCTGGGACAGCCCTGTTCTGAGCAGAAAGGAGGACTAGATGGAGGCAGAAAGGAAAATGCCCCATGAGTCAGAGTTAGAAGATATGGGAAGAGACTATGCTCCCATCACCAACTCAGTCCTGCACCTTTAAAAAGAAGAAAAGGAAAAAGGATCACAAGCACGAGTATGCATTGCAAGGTACCAAGAAACTTCCTTTCTTGCTGCCAGCTCTGCCCTAGTGCCCTCACCTCTGTAGCTGTGTGGCTGGAATGGGAAGGGACTCACCATTAATTCCTGGGAGTGCAGGCCCTATTCACTGGGCCTTAGAATGCCTGGCAATAAAAGAAATATTGGGTCCCTATTCATTTGAGCTTGTACATGAGGCTAAGCATTATAAAAGTAGCTACTGTTTTCAGAGTGCCTACCAAACTATACAGGTGAGGCAAATGAGAATCAGAGTGGGTAAGCGACTTGTCTCAGAAAACATAGCTAGAAAGTAGAAGAGCTGGAATTCAACCTTCAATCTGTTTCTGAAATCAAGGGTCTTATCTTTACGCTCAGCTGAGTTAAGTGAACTAGAAAACACTTCGGCATTAGGGCTGTTAGTGTTTTTTGTGGGGTTTTTTGTGGTACGCGGGCCTCTCACTGTTGCGGCCTCTCCTGTTGCGGAGCACAGGCTCAGGATGCGCAGGCTCAGCGGCCATGGCTCACGGGCCCAGCCGCTCCGCGGCATGTGGCATCTTCCCGGACCAGCCCCCATCCCCTGCATCGGCAGGCGGACTCTCAACCACTGCGCCACCAGGGAAGCCCGGGCTGTTGGTGTTTTAGAAAGACAAGCCTTAGACGACGATTCTACAGGGAAGAGGTCATGTTTCTAAGGCTGGTACCCAAAGAAGCAATCTAAGTGCCCGAAAGTCTGCAGGTCATGCTGGGATAAGGAGCAGAATCAGGGCAGTTCTTTGCAGTGTGGGCAAACTCTCAGCTGGTTTCTTTGATCAGTTTCTCCATATATCTTTCTTCACAGTGCTGGCGATCACCTGGCCCACTGTCCCTTTCCCAGGGTGAGTTGGGTCAGGGTTTGGGGTAGGGGTGGGGACGCAAGAACACTGCAGGAAGACACAGAGGCATCCCTGCCAGACGATGCCCTTCACACTCACAGGTCCCTGAAGGCATTTCCCCTCTGCTTCTCTGCGAGCAGTTGGGGGGGGGGAGGATCCGGAAGGGGCACCTAGAGCTGATGGCCAGTGTACGAACTGGTAGCAGAAAGAGAAGCTGCTCCAGATTCCAGTTACCCTGTCCCTCCCATGCAGCTTTGTTTTCTTCAGCCTCCTTGCTGCCCAGAGAGCTGGGATGGCCCTGGGGGAGGATTGCTATGTTGGGCCTATGGGAATCGGAAGTTCAGGATCTTGTCCTTTGCGCTTTCTTAGAGTACACTTAGGAACAGCAAAAGGGCCCTAAGGCAACAAGAAGCTTATGGGGGCTGAAATCCCACAAAATCGAACGCATCAATCATTCGGGGAGAGAGAAAGACTGCTACAGGGAGCTTGGAAAATTGCTTGGATTGCTTGTTTTTCGCTTCCTCCTCCTCTTCCTGATACATAGATGAGAGATGGATAGATTGAGAGAGGTTTCCTGAGAATCTGAGACTGCGAGGTGGAGCGGAAAAGAGATGACAGAGGGGAAGGCGGTCGACGCCGTCCAACACTGAGCATTGAATGCACTGTCTGAACAGCCCCTCCTGAGGAGGAGGGGGCAGGGGGCAGCGGGAGAACAACGTGTCAATCAGGGAGGGTTCTCACTCTCCGCCCGGGCACGCCAGGAAAACCAGGTATGCTGTGAGTGCAAGTTTTCTTTAAATGAGGAAAGACAGGGGGTAGGAATGTACATAAAAGAAGTAAATAGAAAAGACGGGAGAAAGAAAGAATGAAAGAACGACTCTAACCTCTAGGGCAAGAAAAATGAAAGGCGGCATGTGTTAAAGGAGGAAGAGGTGAAGAAGGGCTGACACCGAGGCAAAGACCAGGGTCTTGGAGAAACTAAGAGAGAAAGAGGGGCCAGGCGGCTGTCCCATCCCCATGTTTGGGCAGATTAATGGAGTCGTGGCTCCCTCGCTAGCGTCCTGCCCCGGGAGGGGACAGTATCTGTTTAGATTTGTCTAAATTTAAACCCTGATCGCCGGCCTCCTTGCTCCTCCCTCCCCCTCCCCCTCCCCCTCCTCCTTCCTCGTTCTCTAGCGCAGGGCGCGGGCGGCCCGAGCAGTCCCGCAGCCAGCGAGCCGGGCGCGCAGCCGCCCACTTGCGCTGTGCCCGCCGCAGCCGAGCCCGGCCCCGGCGGGAGCCGAACGGAGAGCGGGGATCGCGAGCCCCGGCCAGAGCAAGCGCGCGCGGCCGCCGCCGAGTCAGCACCTGGAGGACATGGAGGTAAAGGAGGCGGTGGCGCGCGGGCGGGGCGGCGAGCGGGGCCGGGATCCGAGCGGGGAGCCGGGAGCACCGGGCTCATTGCTGCCGCCCCGGGAGCTCGGCGAATGCCCGCCGCTCCCACGCCTCCTGGCCAACTCCGGAGGCTCGCCCCTGGTCCTACCTACCTAGGGGACCCTTCTGAGCAGGCAGGGGGTCGGCGGGGGAAGACCTCGGGGAGAGGGGAGGGGCCTTTCTAGAGATACAGGTATTTTGCTTAGGGACCTAAATGCTTCAGATAAAAAAAGTGCTGTAAACTTTGTAAATGGGCAAACGTGTGAGCAGAAACTCTCAAGAAAGCAGAAGCCGCTGGATCTGAAGATGTGGGTATTGAAAGAGAAACAACTGAACGTGAGGCACTTTTTTTGGCCAGTCCGTTGGCTTCCCTTTTCGATGAACATTGGACTTTTTAGAGTCCGGTCGCCCTCTTGCTTCTCAAGTCCTGCTTCTGTCTGTCACATCTTTCAGAACTTTCTGAAAAACTCCCCTCGTGGGCAAATGGCGCTCCTTCTGATTAGACTTCAGGCTCCCCTGTATGTCCCTGCGTGCATGGGAGTGTGCTGGCCACATATCTGTGGTGGGGGCTGCAGGGTGAAGCCCACCACTGCCCGGCCTGGGATTTTCCTGGGACCGCTCCAGTGGGATCCAGGAACCACCCTCCAGTGGAGGAGTGGCCGGGTGTTTTCCCCTCCTCCCTGCCTTCTCCACATCCTGAGGCTTCCCCAGATTTTCCCCTTGAAACTGAGTCCTGACATTTAGCCCTAAGCCAGTCTTAGCCAGATTTGGGCTTGCTTTTGAAAAGAAGAAAAGAGAAGGTGTGAATGTTACCTAGCTTTCAAGGTGATTCCCACCCTTTTCAAAAGCTGAACTGCTGCTCCCAAGGCTGTGGTCAGCACTCTCAAGATTCACAGTCAGTTCTGCCAGCTCTTCCCCGCTCCTGGCTCTACACCAGAGCCCAGGTTGGCTCTTCTAAGCGAACCTCACTGCTTGGCCTACAAAGCACTGTGACTTCTCTGTGAGGGCAATAGGTCTGTCCTGGGCAGTTGCATTTAGGCATCCAGCTCTACCAGTTGTCTTCAGGGATCACCCTCAGGGAGGCCTTATAAAGTGCAGGGGACTGTGGGATCCACTAGAGTCTGAGATGGACCTTCTGGAAACATCTGTAAACTGGCGAAACTCCACGCAGATTAGGGCTGGGAAAGGGTGGGAGGGAAGCCCAGCAGTGGGTGTTCACAAGTCTACTCAAAGATAGCCCAGAGCGATAAGATCCTCTCTGGCTGGCTACAGCTTCAGGGCAGAGGAGGGAGATGGCCCCGGGGATGCCCACGGGCTGAGAGAAGGCTCCTGAAGAAATTGCTTTAGGAGTGGGTTTCCTCCTCCGAAAGTACAGGGTGCCTCAGGCCCCCAGGTAGAGGTACAGTGCGATTTAGGACCTGTCTAATCTCTTGCAGAAATGGATGGAAGATGAGAGCAAAGATTTAGGCTTAAAAGCAGGTTGCTTGCTGCTTGAGGGCCAAATGCAAGTTTGAACTTTGTTCTCGGAAGACACAAGGGACTCCTTCCTAAGGTACTTTTTTCTCCCTCAGTTGAGGAAGGAACAGTGTGTGGCAGAGGCCCTGAAACTGTCGTTTAAGCAACTTCCTGTGTTTGGGGGGTGGTGAAAAGAGAAGGTCCTCCAGTGTACAAACCAAGACATGTAGTCATTGATGGGGGATTCTACCAAGATGGGGGCGTTGCTTGGCCAGCCAGGAAGCCTGTCAGTTCTTGCCGAGTCTGTACAGGGCATGGGTTTGCTGGTTGGCAGTGACTGCTTTTGAAGTTCTTTTGTCAAAATGCCTGGAAAAAGAACTGCAACTGCTAGCGCTGGTAAAGGAAGTAAAGAGGAAACCAAGAGGCTGGAGAAGTGACGTTTCTCAGCCAGGACGTAAACTTTTCATGGTGGGACATGATATGCAGGAGTGGGATTTGGGAATTCCTGAAAAATCTCATAGTAAAACCCTCTTTTGAGAGGTGAAACCAACTTTTGAGACATGCAAGGACCACTATATTCGGTGAGAAACTGAGTTAGATTACTTCCCAGTACTAGGAATTTAAACCAGGCCAACAAGAGTTACTCAGCATTCATTCTCTAGAGCCCACTTGCCTACTGGAAGTCTTTGGGAAATCTTTTCTTTTTCTTTTTTTTTTTTTTTTGCGGTGCGTGGGCCTCTCACTGTTGTGGCCTCTCCCATTGTGGAGCACAGGCTCTGGACGCGCAGGCTCAGCGGCCATGGCTCACGGGCCCAGCCACTCCGCGGCACGTGGGATCTTCCCGGACCAGGGCACGAACCCGTGTCCCCCTGCATCAGCAGGCGGACTCTCAACCACTGCGCCACCAGGGAAACCCAATCTTTTCTTTTTTTAAGTTACTTTACTGCTATCAACATCAATCATTATTTCAGCCCTCTTTAAGCCCTCTGCAATAAACAAGATAAAGATACCTTTTAAAAGTTCACAATCCAATAGGGAAAATGAGACTTACCATTATATCTTGTCATGTATATAATTTTCAAATGCTTAAGTGCCGAAGGTATGGCAGTTGCAGACCAAAAGTTCCACAGTATTTCAGTGTTTCTATTAAGTCGCAAAAGAAGTCATAAAAGAAAGGTAGGTGGTGAGGATGAGAAGGCATAAGGAATGGGTGCCCGGAGAACATGCCAGCTTTGTGTAGGAAAGCAGGCCAGTTGGCTGGAGAGGAAAGTGGGGAAGCAGAGAGAGAAAAAAATGAAAGTAATAAGATAAAAACCACAGGGCCTCTGAGTATAGTGGATGCTGGCCAAGTGGGTGAGTGGGAGCTGGAATTCAAGCCATCTGGAAGAAAGGGTTACTTTTTCTTTGTAAAAAGTCTCCTTGCCTAGCTGTGCCCCAAAGGGGGCCTTTTTCTAATTTAGGCAGAGGCCAGCTGCAGCCCTCAAGGCCAGATAGTGAATGGCTTGGATTCTGCTCCATGGACAGTAGGAAACTGAGTGGTGTTGAGTAAGATGGCGGCCACCATGTAGCAGGGATGATATGGCAGAAACACCAATGTGTAGAGTGAGCCAGGAAACCAGACTCAGGAGCTTCTCTGAGAGTCCAGGCATATTCTGACTTTGAGAGAGAGCAAGAATGGAAAAGATGGAAGAGTAAAGGCCGCGTGTTATAAGAGAAACAAGAAATGACTTCTGTCTTTGAGCCTGCCAGGGTGCCCAGATGAGTAGAGTTCTCTTAAGATGCCAAGGAGAATGGCAGTATTGTTTTTATGCCTCTATAAGCCTTTTGTAGGCAGGGACTGTCTTATTGGTCTTTAGGTCTCCAGAGATTTGCACAGTGCCTAGATAATCATATAATTTCTCGAGAAGAACTTGCTTGATAAACGAATTGACAGAAACAGGGAACTCTTCCCCTCTCAGCCTGCAGCTCCAATATCTCTACCTTGGGAACCTTCACAGATGCCCTTAGACTCTACAGCACTCTCGACACTTTTTTCAAACTGAATTAGAGTACCAGGCAGAACTGTAACTGTCTGCTTACCTGGCTCTCTTCCTAGAAAATTCCTTGAGGACTGGGGCCATATCTTATATATCTAGGGCTTGATGGCACTCAAATGCTTGTTGAATGAGTAAATAAATGGTTGAAGATGGGAGAAAGATCAGATATTTTTTTTAAAAAAAAAAACAAGGTTTAGATATGTTAGTTTTGATTGTTCTAAGCAGG